ATAATAAGTCTCTTTAAAAATAGAGAATTCCATGTTATATTTAAAAATAATCTCATAGAATCAATAGTAGCTGGAAACAGAATTGACCAAGAGGAAACTATTTTATCTCTACTTTGGTGAATTTTCTATGATCCTCTCCTTTGCAAAATCCAGAATAATACACAAAGAGGGTACAAAATATCAGTTATATGAAATCCTGATCTTAAAAAACAGAATATAAGAAGGCTAGAATCAAGACATACAACTATAGCCTTTATAGATGATACAACATGGATAGCAAGACCTAAGAAAGATATGGAAATGATTCTGAAAATAGCAAGAATCTTCTACAAAGCCAATGATTCTCAAATAAATGGCAACAAATCAGTCTTGGTTACTATAAACAATCCTAATTGCTATCCAGAAGAAGTAAAAGCAGGTACTAAAGAAGAAGTGGTTAAAGAGCTCGATAAAACAGAACAAGCTAGATTTTAGGGATCTGGATGGGTAATCAAAAAACAGCAATAAAGCTTAAAGAATGAGTGCTTAAAGAAGTCAATATAGTCACAAGAGCCCTTAAATATATGAAGATGATAGACAAACAAGCTCTCTATATTCTAAATAGAGTATTAATATCTAGAATAGAATTCAGAATGCAATATAGTATATTATCCTAAAAAAATATACAACATCCTGACAATGGCATATAGAAACTTTTCAAGAATAAAAGTGGTTTGTGCAGATCTATGCTCAACAGTGTAGCTCACTATCCAAAGATTCATAATTTGAAAAGTATCTGGATGCTACAAAAAGAAAGTCAAGTAACAGAACTTTGCAATAGACTAATTAATTCCAGACCAATAGGAATCATATCAATTATTAGACTCAAACAAGCACAAATCAAAAATTGAGAACCACTCAATTTATTAATCAGCAAATTCTTAAGTCACTTAATAGACAAAGGCAACTTCACACTTCAAGTAACCAGAATTGCTAAAGATATGGGAATAACATTTCATAGTTAAAAATAGCAAGATATTTTTGAATAGAAAAAGTGAAATACTTGGATCGGAGAATATCTTGCATCAAAAGAATACAAAAAAGCTATATCATTACTCAAAAACAATCAACTAATGTATCTGGATCAGCTGATCAATCAAAAAACCAAAAAAATAAGAGATTGGCAAATGTTTCAGTTCCTGCAATATACAAGCAAAAGACTTATATCAGAATGGTTCCAAATTATAATCAAAAATCTCTCAGAAAAATAATTAAAGCAGTTTATAAGATCCTAGAGAGAAAATTATATGAAATGGAAACCAGAATACTCCAAAATAGAACCTAATTGAGACAAGTGGAAAAAATTGTAGATAGTAATGAGAAGCAAAAGAAATCAAGTAACTTGGGAAAATTAAGATAAGAAAAGAAGAGAAACGTTATAATAGTAAAGCACTTTATCAGTTATAGCATCAATAATGATCAGAAAACTAATTTACAAAAATGTCCAGAATGTTCGGAAGGCATAACACTAAATGGTAACTGCATTATAGAAAGAGGAATAGAAGAGATATATATAGTACCATATCTCAATATGAGAAAGTTTACTAGACAAACACAAGATTTAAAAATTTCCAATCCCAGATTAGCACTTGAAAAAAGAATTAAAGAAGTGATTTACAAAGACCAAAGCCCTTTAAAGATCCTAATGATAGAATAAATCATGTGGACATTAAAATCTGGGAATAATATATTATCAGAAAAAATATTAAAGAAGATGCATATCAAAATTATCTAATAGCTATACTTTAATGTAATTTTGAATCTAAAGAAAAGCTAATCTTCTATTCTGATGGATCACTTATTAATTATGGTAAAGAAGAAATGAAGATGGGAGTAGCTTAGATTCAGATTAGTAAAGATAGAAGAAAAAGCAAATTTTAAACAGGAATAGACAAATGGCCCTTATTTACAAAAATGGAATTGGTAGCAATTATAACAATACCCCTAATAGTTTCAATTAAAAGTACAGTGGAGATTTTTACAGACAGTCAGATATATATTTTCAAATGGAAATCTTTAAAAAAAGAAGATTCAAGAAGGACATATAAGAGATGGCTCAAAGAAAAAAACTGGTTCCCCTGAATATACATAGTAGAACTAATAAAGAAAAAAAATATAGATTTAAAGTTCACAAAAGTTAAAGTACACTCAAATAATCCTTATAATGAAGAAGCAAATATCTTAGTTAAAGAAGCTCTAAAATTTCCACTGATTGAATGGAAAGATCTTATCTCACGCAAAATTATTATTGAAATTAAGTAGCAAGGAATGACTTTAGATGATCCAATTAGACAATTTATTAAAAACATTAATAATAAGACAACAGCTTATCAGTGGACACAACAAAACAGAACTGAGAAAAAATGGAGTCGGTAGATTTCAGAATATTAGGCTCATATATGGGATCTAGTATGGGAAAGAGTTAAAGATGGGTACATATAAAATACATCTTTCAAACAATCTTAACAAAGAAGCTTTCTAATTAAACTGGTTAATGACGAGCTACCTACACTAAGTAAGTTGACTATAAGAAGACCGGACCTATATAAACAAGTAATATGTATTGCATATAGTCAACAGGATGAAACTATAGAACATTTATTATAATGCTCAACCTATAAAAACCAACTAAATGAGGCATAGAATAAAGGGGTAGATAGAATTATTAGAGACTTTAAAGAACTACTAGGGAAAAAAAAAAGAGAAGCTGAAGAGAAAAATCTCAGACTAATTATTAATTATCAAGAAGAGATAGAAGAATTTGACAAATGAATCTCTAAAGTAGTAGAACAGGCTTCTAAAATTAGTCAGGACATACTAAGTTTTTGTACTGGCTTTATAAGAGTAGATATTATCCTAGAAATGATAGACCTAAAATGTCAAGATAAATATATAGGAAGAATAGCAAGAAAATGGATAATAAAATGTAAAGAAGAGTTTGTAATCAAGTTCGAAAAGAAGTCTGGAACAAAAGATACGAAAAGGTAATTGAGTAGGAAAAAACACAAGAAATTGATAGAGAGAACAAGACAAGAAAACCTTCATGTCTTTCAAGTTGGAAAACTGTACTTCCGAAAGAAAAAGTTTCACTACCTGAAGAAGGAAACCTCGAAGATGAAGGCCTTCGAGAAATTCTAATACTGTAAGAAGAGTGAAGTATGGAATGAAATAGTTGGGTTTTAAGCTCTGTCAAAACCTTACAGAGTGATCTGCAGTAGTGACCTGCAGGTAATGAAGTTAACAGTTGGAAGGGTCTTTATCCGAACTGTTAACAGAGTGATAAATCACTTCCGAAGTTGTATTTAGAGTTTTGATAATTTTTAAAATAGAGACAAGTGAGTTAAATAGAAACTTAGCTTTAGTGATATATTCTCTAATGTAAAGTATACATATGTTTAATAAAGCACACATACCTAGCCTGACAGAGGGAAAAAAATAAAAATAAAAATAAAAATATTTCAAATACTATTAGATATTGATCGAATTTCAATAATAATAAAGAATTTTCAAACTTTACTATTAATAAGTAGAAAAATTTTTTCATAATATATATAAATATTATTCTATAAAAACATCATTTAGATATAGATCACTAAATTTTAATAAAATTTATCAAATCATAGCATGTAAAATTTTAAGACAAAAAATTTATTAAATAAGGCTTATGAAAGATAGAGCGTAATTTATTTCTTAAACCGCACGTGATTAATTCATACACGTATTTTGATCTGCAAATTCGCGTATATTAATCTAGAAGTTATTTTTACACCGTGCTTCGCCTCTTCGACAAAATAATATTGATTATTGGAAATTAAAGATCAAATCGTCAATTGGTTTTACAAATTCAGCATATGATAACTGAAGGCTGAATAATTCTTAAATTTCTGTAATGTATATTTACTTCGAATTACGCGACTTTTGGTGTAAATTCTAAAATCGAGTTACATTCAGTAGTAGACTTCGAAACCATCACTCATTCAGGATAATGGACCTAGAAGAATCAAGAAATAATCTGGATACGTCAAAAATTTCGGAGCACCTGGATTCATGCAATGCTAGTTCGGTCTCGCGTACATTTAATAAGTCGAATCCTCGTGACAATGTAATTGACGACTCTAACGCTAAAGGAGAATTGTTGCCTATAGTTCAAAGTCTTTCAACATTGGAGCATCGAGTTTCAAAAGAAAAATCTGTAATGATATCAATACAAACAGCTTAGCATTACCTCAGCATTTTCTTACACGAAATCGAATTTTTTTGTACCAAATGCTCACTATTTGATATTTAGGATTCCGGCCTATATTCAATTGAAATAAACGACAACTCGTTACTACAGTTTTTTCCAAATTATTTGAGACCTGGAGATCAGCAAGTAACTAATACATTACAAACTAGCTTTCTCGCCCCAACGATTTTCGAAGATCAATCATCAGATGCGTTTATTAAGATGATTACAGGACACGTGAGTTTAAAGCCGATTGTTTATTTGCAAAAAGTTTTTTAATAGTAAATAAAAGGAAGAGAACACCTCAAAGGGTTAATTTTTAGAAACTTCGAAATCAAATTTTCAAATAAACTTTATCGAATATTTATTTTTGGTATGGGAAACAAAGGGTTTGGGTACACCGGCTCCGACGCAATTTTTATCAACGAGAGAAGCTTCACATACTAATGTAGATAGTGCTGTTTCTCGATGTTTTTCGACTCCAATGGTCACCGAAAGGTAATTTAATTTGGACATTAATATGATATGGTTATTGAATATGGCTTTTTTATCGCCAATTCCATGATTCTTACCGTATCTTTCAAGGCTGCAGCTTGAAAACAAACCAGGTTCTATTGTGAGGCCTAGAAGGAAGACCATGAATTTGGGAAAAAAACTAGGTAAAAGATAGGCTATGTACAAATATGTCTATAAAGAAAAGTTTGGTTAAGAACACATCACTAATTCACAAATTTAGGTCCGCCACAAAGGGTCAAGATAAATGACGAGTCCTTGTTTATAGAAGAAAAGGAGGAACGTGAACATGACATCGTTCCGGAATCTGATCACTTGCAAATTTCAGGTAATGCATGATTTCTCGCATGTATTCGAGAGCTTTAATTAAACTAATTCGTTTCACAATCAATTGCTCAGATAGTAAAGAGCAAATACTTCCGCAAAAAGATGAGAAAGAAGGGGCAAAAATAAAGAAAAGTGTTTCGTTTGATGTCAAGTCAAATAAGCTCCTAAAACAGTCATCAAAAGAGAACAATCAAGAAGATAGGCTGCAAAGCTCTTTATTTTCTCTTAATGAAAAATCTGTAAAAAAAGAATTACCAGTGATGACTGGCGAGATGACCCACGAGGATAATTCGAAATCCAAACGGTTATACTCCGATAAAATACAGTATGTAAATACGGCATGGGTGAGTCAATTAATACAATATGTGTTAATATCAATTCGTAAAAAGAAGGCAAAATAATAAAACTTGTTATTGCGTGATTTTCAGCTCAATGGAACACCTTACACCATTATAGAGCGCATCGGTCGTGGCGGAAGTAGTAAAGTATATAGAGTTAGAGATTCAAGCGGTCAAGATTTTGCCTTGAAAAAGGTTTCATTCCAAGGAGTTGATCAAAATGCTATTTCTGGATATATAAATGAAATCGAATTATTGCAAAGACTGGCCGGACGAGATGGCATTATTAAGTTATACGATTCTGAGATTAACTATGATCGGGGATATTTGCTAATGGTCTTAATTTTATAATAAATGTATATTTCCTTATTTATTTTTTGGTACTAAAAAATATCTGATCTTATATTATAAACTTGTAGTTAATGGAGTGCGGCGACATTGATTTGGCGCATTTACTGAATAATCAGAATGGAAAACCTATAAATATGGACTTCATCCGATCTTTTTGGAGACAGGTATGATTGTAATTTTATTGAATGGTTTAAATGCTTCCAGAAATTGAAATTTTACGTCACCTTATGATATCAGATGCTCGAGGCGGTCTATACGATCCATCTGGAAAAAATTGTTCATTCGGATCTGAAACCCGCCAACTTTATTGTAATTGCGGGTGTTCTAAAGTTGATCGATTTTGGTATAGCGAAAACTATACCGAATGATACTACAAATATTCACAGAGAACAACAAGTATGAAATAGTCAGTTCATATTATCGATCTAATGTTGATTACTTAAATTCAGTTAATATGTTGTTCCAGGTTGGAACTATAAACTATATGTCACCAGAAGCCATACTCGACACCAATTTAAATTCATCAGGAAAGAAATTAATGAAAGTAAGTTATTATGTTGATTCACATGCAGTCTTCTTAATCCGTGAGATTTTATTATTAATCTAATCCAGATCATATTTCATACAGTTGGGGCGTCCCAGTGACGTTTGGTCTTTGGGTTGTATTCTGTATCAAATGGTGTATGGGCATCCTCCATTTTCCCATTTGTCCATGGTACAAAAAATTAAATGCATTACTGATTCAAACTACCAGATTGAGTTTCCCGAAACAATAAGTTTGACACCTAAGTTTATTAAATCGAAACCCGAAGACGTCTCTCAACAAAGCGATGTTACTCAAACTATCTTAGTCGATGAAAATTTGCTGAGAATTATGAAAAGTTGCTTGCAAAGGAATCCAAAAGAACGCATGACAATACCTGCCTTGCTAACGGATCCATTTTTAAGCGATTTACAAGAGTCAGGTAAATTATATACACGTGTGTAATAAGAAGTTAACCATCTAGAGAATATATTCCTTATAACAGTGTATTATTTTTACTAGTTTCGTTACCTATATTGGACAATCTTCTTCGGGAGGTAATCAAATATACCAGAACAACCGATATCACTCATAATTCACATGATCAAATAGCGAAAATTAAGAAGGTACATAGTTGTCTTTACAATACATTTATATATTTATGTTTCTTTAGTGAACGTCTTTCATTTTAAATTATTCACATTGGCTCTATCTCAGGCAATCTTTTCGCAACTCAAGAACAAAGAACTCATTAACAACGAACAATGGGATAATTAATAAACTTTTAAGTGTGATTTTCACTAATTAATGATTAGAATTGGTTCTTATTGTGTCCAACATTAAATGTATAATGTATAATAATAGTTGAATTTGTGATAGGTGCAGTTGAAGAACATAATAGCCTCATGAGACTACGGATAAATCTTAAGTTATATCGCAAGATCTGTTTTGTGATTTAGCAAAAAAAAATTTTTTTTTTCTGATTTTTGATTAAAATATTTGATGATTTTGGTTAAACGATTTATCTTATAATTAAAATACAACATTGTATAATAATTTTAATGGGTTTGTATACAGTTTATTATTGAGATATAATTTTTACGTATTTCTATATACATGCAGATTAATGATAACTTATTATGATTTATCCTAGATAGATTATATTGGTGAACAAATCTAATTAGGGATTAAATGATTAATACTTAATTATCAATGACAAGATTAGGCTAGTTAGTATTGAACTTACTACTATTTCACTAATCCAATTCTATTAGTATATATCTAATGAAAATAAATATTTCTAGAAATATCTTTTTTGTTATTACTTGCGATGGTAAATTAAATCTTATTAATTAATTTTTATTTAAGTGAAACATCAAATTGAAATATTTTGAGTTAAAAAAATACAAATTTTGAAATTTAATAAGTAATAAATCTATAGAATATATACTATATAATTGATTAAATTGAAAAAAAAAATTTTTTATGCAATTTTTCAATAATATAATCATAGATCTTAACTTTCAATCAATAAAAGATCAAAAGTTTCATCTTTATATAATATATGGTGACTTAAAATAGTATAATTTTTTTAAATAATTGAGTATAATATTTATAAGATAATCAAGAAATCCAATTAAAAAAATTTTTTTTATTAATTCTTTTATAATGTTAAATTAAGAATCTTATAATTAATAATTTAAAAATACTACTATTATATTATTATTAATTTACAAATATTTATTATGATTATTATTATTATTATCATTTTTTTTTTTTTAACCCGCAATCATGCCACAATGACTTGTCTTTATTGAAAAATTGAAGTAACTCTACAATATTTTACAGACTTTCACAAAGTGAC